CGTATGCATGTATGTAAATGCATAAATGTGAGTATATATTTTTATATAATAAATAAGAGCTTTCCCTACCTTTGTCTCCTTCATACTTTATTGAAAGTGGAAAGGGGTGGCTGTACTGGTTTTGTACACCTGCTTCCTTTGTGCTCTGCCTATCAGCCCTCCCTCTAGTCCTTTGATGTAAGCCCCAATGTCATTTGGTGCCTTTACCTGTTTTCTTTTTCTTTCTTATCTTTGTCCTTTTAATTGTTCCCTTCAGGAAAAGTTTAGCTCTTTCTAGTCAGGATTAGACAGAAAACTTAATGAAGCCCTTATTCTATTGATTATAAAAATCACTTATGATGGTTTTTTATTCCAAATAAAATGTTTAAGTGAAAAACACTGATGCTTGGGTCCTATCTTCAGAGATTGTTAAGTAATTAAGAAGATATTATTTCCCTGCCTATAGAACTCTGCCTGTGCAGCTCTTGATGGGATTTTGCTTTAGTACTAATTTCTATGCAATAGTACACATTGAAATATACAAAGGACATATAGCTTTACTGGGTAATTTCATTGTTAAGAATGTATCTTTGGAAAATAATTATATACTACACAAAGTTAATGTGCAAGTGTGTTCACTTACATAATAAAAACGATATAAATTTCCACCACTGATTGTGTTAGTGTAAGTTAATAACAAAGGAACACTTTTCTAAATTTAACAAAAAATGACACTGAAAAATTATAAAGGTTTCTAGTATCTGTATTAAGAGAAAACACTGTTTGGGGCCGGGGATTTAGCTCAGTGGTGCTGTTGCCTGCCTCACAAGCACAAGGACTCGAGTTCAATCCCCAGTACCAAAAAGAAAAAGAGAAAACACTGTTTGAAACTTATGATACTTTCTATAGTTAAGATATATTTATTATAACATTTGAGAAATCTGTAAAGAGAAGGAAGAGAAGAGGAAAGGAAACAATCTGGATGTATTCAGAGCAATATTTTTATCATGATTTGTTTGCCATAGGTGGCGCTGTACAATTATAGTTTTCCTATCTTTGTTTTTTCATTTTTCTAACAAAGGTCATATCAAATAAGATAAAAATAAAAGACTTGGTATAAGGACATTTCCACTCATTAGTCAGACATGAAAAAGAAAATGAGAAAGTTTATTGTTATGTAAGAATTTCTGATTGATATCTGTTTGGAAAAAAGTCTATTCCTCACTTTGTCCACTTTTAATTGTGTTCTTTGTCTTTTAATTATAGAATTGTAAGGATTTGTTACACATTCTAGATAGCTTCCTTTTGAATTCTTTCTTCAGGCCCTAATATGTTCTTTTTTATGGATCACATGTAGAAAATCTCCAGGGCTTCAAGAAGGAAAATTCTACTGCTTGTAGCTTGGTTTGGGATGAACCAAATACATTTGTGATCGGCTGTGTGCTTGTATGGGTATGACATATGGGAGATATCTGCAAGAGAGGACAGGGCCTGGGGACTTTCCTTAGCAACAACTGTGTTCTTTCCCAGGCAGATCAAGCTGCAATGCCAGCCTGGGAGGGGCCAATCTGGCAGATACACACAAGGCCCTGGTCCTGCAACTCAATGCCAATGAGAACTGCACGTGGACAATAGAAAGACCAGAAAACAAGAGCATCAGACTCCTCTTCTCCCACATCCAGTAAGTACAATCATCAGCTTCTCAAGAAGAGAATTCTGGCCACAGAATTCAGCTGCTGCAAGAGGTGATAGAGATGGTGGCAATTCCCATGATAATGATATTGATGGTGGTGATGATAATGTTTGACAGTCATTGATGAGGATGACGATGTTGATGGTGAGTGGTAGTCACTGCTGACAACTGCATGCCTTCACTGGCTCACAGAGCTCCCGTGAGGTCATTAAGACACAGGAAGGTTGAAAATGCTGAGGTCACCACGGTGAGTGAAATGATTAGGGTTAGTAATCAGCTAGTCTAGTTCCGATTCTACATCTGGAAACAGTAAACTTGTGATTCTTAATTACATAACAGTCTCTGGAGATAGGACCCAGGCATCAGTATTTTTACTTCAACATAATCAGCTAGTCTAGTTCCGATTCTACGTCTGGAAACAGTAAACTTGTGATTCTTAATTACATAACAGTCTCTGGAGATAGGACCCAAGCATCAGTATTTTTACTTCAACACTTTATAAGTGACTTTTTTTCTTCCGGTACTGGAGATTGAACTCAGGACCTCGCATTTCAGAGGCAGGTGCGCCACCACTGAGCTAAACCCCCAGTCCTATAAGTGAGTTTTATAAGTACCAGGCAACTCAGTGTGAGGTCAACCTGGGAACTCAGTGCTGTCCTGTAGCTCGGCACTTCATGAGATCTGTCCTCGGTAATCTCATCAATCATCTTCTGGGTTGCATTAAATAGATAAGAAAGCCTAGAGAAAGCACGTAATGGACCCCAGTTCACAAAGTAATAAGAGTGGGAGCGGGATTCTAGCACCCTGGTAGAAAACATAGCTCCCAGTCTTATCCCATCTCAGTGCTCTTCCCCAGCAATCAGTCCTCAGTTCTCCTTACCCCATCTCAAGGCACAGGTGCAAAATTAACATTTAACATTTATGGGATACTTTCTATGTAGCAGGCCTGTGGTAGGAGCTTTCTATTCAGAACAAATATAAATTTGACAACAAGTAAAATGTATGCCATGACACTCCCAATTTTCTAGAAGAGAAAACTGAGGTCAAGGAAAGCTAAATCACTTCTCTAATGTCATGTAGCAGGTAAATGACTAAGGTGGAAAGGGAACTCAGATTTCTGAACCCGTGTAGTAGTTGCTCTAAGCCATGCTGGACATATATCCTCTGAGGCATTTAGGGAGAGCCTGTAAGATGGGCAGAAAACTGAAATCCTGGGCTGCCCGGGAACAAGATGGGACTAGAGAATGAGGAGGCAGTGATAGAGGGAAGGAAGGGAGATGTGGTTGCTTTACCCTAAGAGGGGTGGGCATGGGAGAAGAGTTGCTTTTCCATTCTTTTTTGTTTGTTTGTTTGCTTTGATACCAGGGATCAAACCCGGGTCCTTGCGCTGGCAAGGCAGGTGGTGGCACCACTGAGCTAAAACCCTGGCCCTGTTTTTCCATTCTAATTAAGAAGTTTTCCACGAAGCAGTCTTCTGGGAAAGGGGAATAGGAATGATGGAAATAGGAAGAAGGAACAGATTTCTAGCTTTAGGCCCATCTCTACCATTTACTTAATATGAGACGTAGGTAAATCAATTCAGCTTCCCAAGAATTTTAAATGAAAACAGATGTGCCACTGTTGTATAAATCATTAGGCCAGTATGAGTAGTTGACTCTGCTATGCGTAGAGTGAACCCACTTCACCAGTGATGCGTTTCCTGCCTCAAGTACATTCTGTCCACAGGCTGGATCCAGAGGGGACATGTGAAAGTGAAAACATTAAAGTCTTTGATGGAAGCTCTACCAATGGGTCTCTCCTAGGGGAAGCCTGCAGTAAAAATGACTTCATTCCTGTCTTGGAGTCATCATCCAATACACTGACATTTCAAATAATCACAGACTCTGCAAGTATCCAAAGAAGTGTCTTTATCTTCTATTACTACTTCTCTTCTGGCACCTGTAAGTTGTTATCTACACATCTTTTTTTCCTATGCTTCTGCAAACACAGGTTAGACCTGTTTCAGCTCTGGTGTTTTCAGTCTTAGATCTATCCCCTCAGAGACCCTGTCTGCTTGGGAGAGTAGTAGTTCTCTACCCTGACTATGACTATGTACAGAGTAATCTGGAGAACTTGTTAAATCACAGACTTGAGCCTCACCATGAAGATTTTGATTCCTTGCTTCTGGGGCAGCCCACGAATGTTTCCTTCTAACTAGATCCCAGGGTGAGAAGAGGCCTGGGGCTGATCAGATGGTCCCAACTGCTGACAGTAGGGAACCACACACCGAGTGTATTCAGAAATAACGCTGAGACTTTTACAATGATGATTTAGATCACTGGACATGTATTGGGGCTGTGGAGCCTTCATGCTTATCAAGTCCCCCAGGTGATTCTGATAAGAAAACTAGAGGGACACATGTGGAGTTGACTTAATATTTTTTAGACAGTCAGATTTTATACAGTTCTACATTGTCAGAATATAAATTCCACTTTTACCCATAGCAGAGTGCCATGAACTTGAGGGCATGGATTTGTGGGAAATGTACCCATCCAGTTTTTCTTTCCAAGGCCCAGAGCAGACCTTGATAATCTTCTGCCTAATCCAATGATTTCTTAGTGCCACCAAATTTTTAGAGCAGTCAAGATTTTCCTAAGCCACATCCAGACCACCTCTTCAAACCTGGTTGTCTAGCCCTTACCTGACACACAGACTATGATTTGGCCAATCTAAAGCCACTTTGCATTTCCCTAAAAAGAGCCTTCAGTATTGGTTTTTCAAAAAATATTTTCTGCTACTTGCTTATGTGCTTAATAGGGCAGAGAAGGATGAAGAATATCTTCATAAAGGGTGCATGTGAGGTGAGCTTTGAAGAACAGCGTGACGAGGGAGGGAGAGGCACAAGTACGATGGTAGAACCAGAGGCTCCGAGCAGATCTAGGAAGACAAAAGAGGGCTGGGGAAGGTGGCCATTTGCTAGTGGCCCTTGAGCCTGGACACATAGGCAGGAGTTAAGGGAGGATGAGACTCCAGTTTTGGTTCTGAGAGTGTGACTTTGTTTTCCATGACTCAATTCAGGTAATGAAGAGTATCTATAGTTATGATAGATTTAGTATTATTCCTTCGAAGCAGTATAAAGACTTACTCTCTGCCTTGTACCAAGGGGCAGAGATTCCATGATAAAGAAGAATTAAAAGTTCAATATGCAGCTCCTGGGAAAGGCAGAGATGAAATTACACTCAGGGGAGGACATGCTAAGCTCCATTCACAATGCCTGAGTTAAAAGAAGTCTCTATTTTGATTAACATTCTTGATCACCTTCTTATCCCTTTCAGCAATTCCAGACTGTGGTGGTTACCTGAACACTTTT